ACTAGCCACATGGTGCAACCCTAGTTGAATACAAAGGACTAATGGATGAGAGGAATCAAACTGTTTAATGGCTTGTAAGACACTGAGGAAATCTGAAATGATCACAAATGTCGAAGGAGACATATATGCAATACAGAGAAGCACAATGAGAATGGCATACAACTTGGCATTAAAAATACTAGCCGAGTCTAACAAATGTCCTCGGACATCATCATCAGGGAACACTGCTACGAACACAACACCATCAGATTTGGAACGATCTGTATAAACAATAACAGCATGAGCATGCGATTGGAAGTGATCAAGAAAAGAGAGCGAGAAGCAGTTGTAGGGAGGAGAGCTTTGGCGCAGGGCATAGGGAAGGACACGAACTGTTGGAACCTCCCAAGAGGAAAGGGAGAAGGCAGATGCTAAATGAACATACAAGGGAGGCAACTGGAGAGAAGACCAGAGTGAAGACGAAGAGAAAATGGTCGGAGTAAGGAGGGGCGTCGAACAAATAATGGTCTTTTACTAATGTCTGAGACCAACCTGTACGTAGATGGAACATGAAGGTCCTGAGAGTGGACAAAGTAAAGAAGGCAATGAGCATTGTGACAATCGGTTAAGGAAGGGACATTCACCTCAGCATAGAGGCTTTCAACCAGGGATGAACAAAAGGCACCAAAGCATAAACATAGGCCTTGATGATGAAGGGCGTCTAACTTAGAGAGTATGGTAGGAGAAGCTGCAGAATAGACTTGGTCTCCATAATCCAGCTTAGACAAGACTAGAGTGGAATGCAAATGGAGAGGAGTTCGGTGATCTTCTCCCCATGAATGATTCGCGAGAATTTTCAGGAGATTCAGCCGACCATTGCGAGTTGCCTTCAAGGAAGAAATGTGAGGTTTCCATGTCAACCAGCGATTGAAGAGAAGGCCAAGAAACTTAACCGTATCACAACCTGGAATACGCGAGCCATGTAAATACAATGGAATATCTGGGATAAGACGACGTCTAGTGAAGGTAATGAAACAGATTTTCGTACTAGAAAATTTAGAGCCATGAGAAATGGTCCAATGGGAAACTCTGTCAATTGCATCCTGAAGGGAGGCTGCTACCAGGCAACAGTCAGTGCCTGAGAAAGCTATAGCGAAGTCATCCACATAAACTGATGACCAAATATGCGATGGAAGAACGGAAGGCAGGTCATTTATAGCTAAGAGAAAAAGGGTGGTGCTAAGGACACAACCTTGTGGGACTACCTCGGCTTGTACAAAGTCTGAGGAAAGCGAGGCACCAACATGGACCCAAAAATGTAAAATGTTTATCAGATAAGAAAGTAGCAAGGAAGGTTGGTAGATTACCACGGAGGCCTAAGGAATGGGCTTGGGCTAAAATGTTGTACCTCCAAATGATGTCATATGCCTTCTCAAGATTAAAAAAAACTGCTAGGACGGAGTGTTTGTTAGCAAAGGCGTTTCGCACATACGTATCTAAGTGGAACAAGGGGTCCAAAGTAGAGCGATCCTTGTGAAAGCCATATTGGCGATGGGAAAGACTATTGAAAGTCTCCAAGAACCATATCAGATGTCTGTTCACCATTTGTTCCATCACCTTGCAGACACACTGATCAGGGCATGGGACGATTGAGAGGTATCAATCGTCAAGGTGCCTGGTTTGCAAAACACTAGTATGAAGGCAGATTTCCATTGTTGAGGGAGAACCCCTCGCCCCCAAATAAGATTGAAAAAATGCCAAAGGACTGGAAGGGCTGTAGAATGCAGATGTTGTAGCATACTGATATGAATATCAGGTCCAGCTGCTGACAGCTAGGAAAGTGAAAGGTATGTTATACGGCTCCATTCCATTAGAGAAGTTCAAGGGCAATTGCTCCTTAGACTTAGATGCAAAAAATGAGACACAAAGGTGAAATCCTTGGGAGACACGGACCAGATAGTTCCCAATTTTCATGGCAACTTCAAGAGGTTCTGCAATACTAGCACCAGCAACCCACAAAATGGGAGCTGGGTCTGGAGTGCACTTGCCACACAACTTTCGTACCTTCTTCCAAACCGCACACATAGGGGAAGACGAGGTAATGGTAGACGTGTAGTCTTGCCAACAAGTGCACTTAGCTTCGCGTATGACACGGCGAGCAACTGCCCTTGCCTGCTTAAAAACTAAGACACCCCGAGGTCCGATTATATTGGTAACGGCTCCACACAGCACATTTCAAATGCATTGCATGGGCACATGCAGGAGACCACCAAGGAACGTATGTCTGAGAATGCCTGCCCGAGGTTTGAGGAATAGAAAGCTATGCCACAGTCAGAACTAAGGTTGAAAACTGGTGTACCAGTTCATCAATAGAGGATGAAAGGGGGTCCTCACAAAAGGTGTTAAGATGAGAGTATAAGTCCTATTTTGCTCGAGCAAACTGCCAACAAAGGCTACGAGGCAGCTGGGAACACGTAGCAGAAGTAAGATGAATAGGAAAGTGATCATTGTCACGTAAATCCGGAAGAAAAGACCAAGTGTAATCAGATGCAACTGATGAGGAACAGATAGAAAGATCAATGCAAGAGAGACTGGGTCCGAGAGTCAAAATGAGTAGGAACACCCGTATTTAAAAATGAAGAGGATGAAAAGCTAGAGGAGTTTCCAACTGATCACCATGAGTCACAGTGGAACCCTCCCCACAGATGATGGCGAGTGTTAAAATCTCCTAACAAGATGGGCGGTGGTAGAGATCAAAAATGCAATATCCAAGATACAGAATGCACAGGAGGGGGAAAGATAGAGCAAACTGTATACCATTTGTGCAAATAAATACGAGCTGCAGTATAATGCAGCAGAGAACGAACAAAAACTTGATAAGGCATATCAATGCACACAAGGAGCGAGCTCTCATTAAATGATTCATCAGGAAAGGGATCAAAAGAATATAACAGCACATAGCCCGAAACAGGACGAATAACAGCTGAACGAATTTTGGGCTCTTGTAACCCGACACATATTGGGGAAAACTGAGAGAGCAACACTTGGAGCTCTCCCTGATTACCCGAGGCCACGAATATTAAATTGTAAATAAGACATTATTGACAACGGATTCTCGTTCATTACAATAGACTTGACAACGGCTGGAAAAAGAAGATTGAGATTCATTACATTTGAGACAAGAGGGGGGAAGACTGCAAGATTTATCAGCATGATCTGTGGCACCGCAGACCGGGCACTCCACAGATCTGCAGTATTTAGTGGGGTGTCCCAAGCACCAGCAATTTTGACACTGTTGAGGAGTAGGGACTACTTTAAGGACCTCTAGGCGATGGCTCATGATATAGACGGAAGATGGGAGTTCACGGCAGTTGAAAGTTAAGCAGGTGATGTTACTGGGAAAGCACCTTGACCCATGAGCAGGCAGGACATACGTATCCACTTTGAAAACAGGAAGGTCCTGAAGAGCTAATTGCTCTAAAATATCTCCTCAAGACAGAAAATCACTTTGTATAATGGTATGCGATAAAACCACCGTACCACAGCAAGAATTGAGAGTAGCATGCTTATGAACTGTGACTGAAATGTTATCTATGGAAGTAATATAGGAAAGGTCATGAGCTTATTCTGAATTCCGAACTGTAACGACACGCGAGCCACTTTGAAGAGCATGAAAGGATATATTTTGGCCAACATGTCGTAAAAGAGCTTTTATAATACTATGGTCAGAAAGATAATCAGTTGGAGATGTCAGTTGTAGGTAAAAGAATTTAGCCCACTAGGTACTTGTAAACATGGTGCACAAAGGAAGTGGGTGTCGCATAGGTCGTTTTTGGGTAGACATCGAAGAACTGTTGTCAGTAAGTGGTCTGGAACATTTAGTAGTACAGTGGGCAGCCTGACCTGAGGGAGGTGGGCGGTCCAAAAACCATCACACCGTATTCGGGGAAGCCAGATGCATTGTTAAAGGCGTGCAAGAGGTAGAGGTATTAACATAAATTGGTGGCGCCTCAAGCAGGTGATGAAACGTCACCAGCAGAGGGTACAGGGGTATGAAAAAAGTCTAAAGAATGGTCCAATAACGAAGCTGGGTCTGAACAGCATGTGGGAACAGAGAGGGGCCTGGGAGGAGGGGGTTATCACAGAACAAAGACTCCATGATAGTGGTGCTTCTTTCTTATTTAAAAAAAAAAAAAAAAAAAAAAAAAAAAAAAAAAAAAAAGAGGGACAGCAGAGTGTCACTTAAAGGCATGGAAGGGCTGTAAGTTCCTCCTCTCATCCGAGAGGGCCTTGAGCCCACAAGCAGTGCAGATGAAGCGTGGAACCCGTGCCATACCCTACCCTTCATGCCATTAAACCAGCACTCCGGGATAGCAACCTCACATTTACCGAGCCACTTCGGTGGACAAAAGAAAAGGGTGGTGGAAAACCCGCCACAAAGCATACCTCCTTTGGCTGTCACCTCCCAGAACCGACGGGCAGTCTCTGGAGATACACCCATCATCTGCAGGACACCCTGCCCACTTCTTGGAAATCTGGCAAGGAAGCAGAGCACCTCCAGACAATTCAGATTGCATGGCAAGCTACACCTCCCCCAAGTGACCCTACAGAGTGGGAAGAACTCCAGCACACTTCCCTCTACTTAGAAACTAATGCCAGAGGGAAGGACCCCAGAAACTACAAACAGGACAGGGAAAAGGGGAAAGTTGGGAGGGGGGTGGAAAGGGGGCAAAAAGAGGAGGGATAGGGAGGGGAGGATTGGGGGTACTTAGATTCAGTCTGAGGAAGGAGACCAAAGGGTTTAATTACACAGACCAAGAGCGTCTTTACCCCGTCAAGGAGCCCCCCTTGAAGAGGACAGATTATTGTTAAAAAGCCCTGTCATGTCTAACTTTTAGCCCCCATATGGAATCTGCTATCACTGTCAATGGCAATGTATACATAGTATCATGATTAAATAAAAATATAGTTTTTATTAAATAAATAGTAAATAATTAATATAGGATGAGAAAACTATAATGTAATGAAAACCTTCTATTTTTTCTTCAACATGTTACAATGTGATCCTTATAGTTTGTGTGAAGACATGAAGAATAGGGATCGGTCAGTGCAGAAACTATTGTGTACAAAGCACATGCACTCAACTCACTCACACATCACATTTTTGGACTAGTAGACAACTAGTTCATGCAATCTATTAATAGCTGGATCTGAAATCTTTAAAATCCACCTTTAAAATAGAAATGTCAGTAACAGAAGTCTACTTCCAAGTGAGAAAGCAATACACTCGAAAGCTGTCCACAGGCCACTTAAGTTTGGTCACACATCACAAAGACAAAGTCAGTGTTGCCATGGACATAAGACTGCCTATAACAATATGATTTGCAACACTTAAATGAAAATAATGTGTACATAAAACCATGCTCCATAAAACAAAATTTTAATTACAGGTAAAGTTTTAAATACTCACTGTAAATTTTAATTATTTGCAAGTAAACCTGAAATTGTGTATTAGTTTTTGTGAGGCACATTATTGAAATTAAGAGTAAATTTAATTGTATAATTATATTAAAGGCAATGCAGCAGACTGATTAAAGAAAAAATACTAGTATCTCTACAGTTATCACATTTCTTAATAAATTACATTTCTTTAATTCAAGCATACACATTACAAAAATAAAGACTAATTTTGACACTTCATCAATTATAACACCCAGTTATATCTGGAGGCTTCAAATGCACTATACTTTTTATATAATGCCAGATACAGCAATATAGTGGAACCTGCATTTTCACTTTAACATTAACAATTTGGCTAATATATTCTCCAAGATATTACACAGGAATGCAAAAGACATGAAATGTCTTACGTTTTATAAAAAAATATTTAAATTCCATATACTGTACAGTAATACCTCTCTAGTTCAGGACAACAGCTCTACCCTTACTGAATATTGACCAAGTCTAAATTACAAGTAATATTTTAAAAGCACAGTACATAAATGAAAAAATAATAAAAGTGCATAAGCCAGAAGAGATCATCATCCAGAGAAAGTCTTACAGTGATTGGCAATAGTTTTGAAAAGGTACATTTGTATACAAGTGTCATGTACTAAATTTCACATTACAAAATTTGGAATTATTTTGAAATTCTATATTATAGAATACCAAAATTACAGAGGTTTTACTGTACAACAAAATGTAATAATTCCCTGAATAATGCCTATTTGAGAATGTGTTTATGCACTAATACCAGTACTTTATAACGAATGAAAAAAATTAATAGTTTGCTGGAGTCGTATAAAAAAAATAAAATTATTTTGCATCTTAAATGTAAAACTTGCAAAATTTAATGTAAAATCAATCTTACTCAAAAATATATGACATGACAATATAGAAATGACCAAACAAAGATGACCTCAGACAATTTTCCTCCTCACTCATAACACAGTGGCAGGCAGGTAGCATTTCTCTCTCTCTGTAATTTAATTGCATTTGGGAACAAGAGAAATATTAATGCTCCTATCTAAACAATTTGTACTATACACAATTTTTTATTTAGAAAAATTGTGTTGAAAAGACCATTCTGTGGCTCATTGAAAGAGCAAAAAATTTTTATTTGGGTGTTTGTAGCAAGAGTAGAAATTGTGGACCTCAAACAATGGAAACTTAGTTATCTACATAAAGACAAATTAAAATAAAAAAATAAATAAAATAACAGTTCACCAATAGAGGACCATAATTCATACCCTTTCTATACAAACACACGAAGACAGTTTAGCATAAACCATGGCAGAATGAGCTGAATGAAAATTTTATATACATGTCTTTCTGGCCAAGAGTAATAACAAGCATCTCTTTTGCACATATACTCTACTCTTTCATAAAAATAAACTCACTTTGTAGTCTTTGAAATGGTTGCTACTGATGATGCCAACACTGTTAAATATCACTAATGGCATTTAAACGTTCCAATGATTAACAGCTTTGGACATTATCCTTAACACTGGAATCTTCTATCTTATCATTTGTGATTCAAGACAGTCCACTAAGGGAGAGTGACCACTGCCAGGTAGAGATAGAGAAGAAGAAGAAAAAAAAAAAAAAAAAAAAAAAAAAAAAAAAAAAAAATTGATTCATCATTTAAAATTAGTTGGCTTTGATGTCACCATTTTTTTTTTATTATAATTGATATCTCTCAGTAAAATGTGAGAAGACTGATATGGAAAGTTAATCCTAACCTGCCAGTCTCCCAAAGCAGACATCTTTCAGTTAATAGATAAGGATAACAGCAAAAATTATCCACAAAAAAAAAAAAAGTGACATTTCAACTTAAGAAAAAAGATTGCATATAAACAGTCCAGTCACAGAAATGTCTATGCCACTAGAGATGCAGTAGTACAAATTGTACTTCACTTTGTACTGAATCCCAAGGCTGAGACGCATTCCCCTCCCTTCCCACATCGTTCCATCATATTACACTATAACCCAACAAACTACCTTTTTCTATTACGTCTCCAACTTCTTTCACATTTGAACATATCAGTATTCACTTATACAAACAAATGCCCAATACCAACCCCTGCAGTTGTACTACACAAAGGCTGCATTAAATCGATTTAAATTATAATATTCCCCCAAAATAGAGCATAATCTGTTTGCCTAACACACATGAAACCTGTTTTCAGTCTTGTATGAGAAATCTCAGGCTCTAGTGTAGTTACTCCCAGTCACAAGATAGGAAAGGAATTCAACAATTTTGCTTACTATACAAAACAGGCAGTCCATAGTCCTTTTCCAATGTTAAAAAAAAAAAAAAAAAAGGCAACATGAACATGCAGTTTTCTGCATGATAGCTGAATGACAGTTTTATTCAGTTTCATGGTTGTGTAATCTGCACAATATTTTGTTATAAAACATACCTCTACTGCTCAGGAAACTTCAACCCATCAGTGTTAGGTGGTGAAAGGAAATGCTGCTACATCCCAAAGAGTGGGCAAACGAGACCATGAGGTCAGGCAACTTGCCCCAGGGAACAATATACCCATCTATAAAAATTATAAATTAAGCTCTATTGACCAGCAATACATCTAATCGCATAATTCATCAAAAATTCCTCCCACAGGTACTAAAAGAATGGGGTCAAATCCATTTGCCAGGGTACTTTATGTTACTATAAAGTTTGTGCACTAGAAATGTGTGAAGGCAAATGGTTTTTGGGACTTGATGAACTGCTGGAGTGTGAGCAAGGTGAAGGGACTCAGAGAAACCGGCTAGCCAGACTAGAGTCCTGGAAGTGGGAAGTACAGTGTCTGCACTCCGAAGGAGAAGTGGGGATATTTGCAGTTTGGAGGAACAGGTGAACGGTAGTATCTGTGCACCTCTGGCAAGACAGTGATAAGAGTGAATGATGGTGAAAGTTTTTTTTTGGGTCCCTCTACCTTGGTAGGAGATGGCAAGCGTGTTAAAAAAAATACTATCACATGCAAAGAACTGCATTTTCATATCTTTTACCATACTGTTGTAATAAACTTCTGAAACTGGAAAAAGAACTTGTAGACACCCCATATTTCATTAATCTTTGGAGGAATTTAAAAATAATTACTCAAGGGATAATTTTGTTCATTTAGATGCATAAATACCTTACACCATTACTTTACCCACCTATAATTAAGATTGAAAACAAGCACACAATTCGGAAAAAAAAAGAACAGTAGTCCGCTATACTTGTCATGTAATGACCTTTAACCTTTACAGTACTTTACATAGTCATGCCAATTGCAATACAGTACTTTAATTTTTAAATACATACCTTTATCTGGATTCTTTCCCTGACCCCCCTCCCCAGCCCCTCAAACATATCCTCTGCTATATTTACATTAACTGATATCAACATCAGAATCATCAAGCATGTCCTCATCTTCCTCATCTCCAAAGGACGAAGGGGATGCAGAGTCAGGTCGGTGTTCATTCTGGAGGGAGATTAGAGATGAGTGGCGGGATATAACACCTAGGCCACTACTCGCACCGCTACTGCCTGTACGTGTCATGGTACCAACTTCCAAATCTTCTTCACCAAATACTTCTGTCCCAAGTATACTTAAATCCTCTCGAAGATTCAATTTGGGTTCATGGTTTCCTTCTGCTAAATCTGTTGTAATAAAATTGTGGGCAATTATGATTTAATAAGTATCAAGATATAGCAAGGGAAAGGAAAGGAAAGCAGAATCAAGAAGGGGGAGAAAATGAAAAGTTAAGGATAGAGAGAGGGGGTAAAGGGAATATAAAGATGCTCTACCTATGACATGCTTTTACCTCAAAGGTGCCCTGATGATGCCGAGACTCCACTTCTCTTTGAACATGATTTCTTTGCATTTCCCAAGTGCTCTATGACCTATATGGGTTTAAAACTTCCCCATGATAATAATAATAATGATAAAAATACAAAATAATACAATAAAGGTAGGGAAGTTTTCATTGCATTTATGGATTTAGAAAAGGCATATGACAGAGTGGATAGAGGAGCAATGTGGAAGATGTTGTATATATATATGGAATAGGTAGTACATTACTAAATGCTTTGAAGAGTTTTTATGAGGATAATGAGGCTCAGGTTAGGGTGTGCAGGAGAGAGGGAGATTACTTCTCAGTAAAAGTAGGTCTCAGACAGGGATGTGTAATGTCACCATGGTTGTTTAACATATTTATAGAAGGGGTTGTAAAAGAAGTAAATGCTAGGGTGTTGGGAAGAGGGGTGGGATTAAATTATGGGGAATCAAATACAAAATGGGGGTTGACACAGTTACTTTTTGCTGATAATACTGTGCTTTTGGGAATTCTTATGTAGACTACTGCAATATTGTAATAATTGTACAAATAATGTCAACTCATTCATGATTGCATATTAGAATGGCTAGTTGGACATTTATTGCACAATGATGTCATTTGTTTACTCTTGAACATGGGCAAAAATCAAACATTTCCCCTACTTTGAGCTCCATTTCAAGGTCCTTTTCATAGTAAAACCAATCAAAATCACCCCCATTTCTATGTTTTGCGTTCTATCAAATGTGACTACAAAAACGAGAATATAACCATAAAAACTATACAAAAATACACCTCAAAGTCAGCATTTTAATTCAAAAACACAGTCGGAGTTTATTTTTTCTCATTTTGCACTGCTTGCTGCAGGATTTTTTTTATACTGCACACACTGACCACACAGTCCCATTCTCTCACATGTGGGCCTACCAGCTTTCTCCTGCTTGATTTGTAGCTGCTAGAATTTGAGTTTACATACGTCAAACACATTGGCTCGTAAGATGTATTTATTTTTTTTTTCAACAAGTCGGCAGTCTCCCATCGAGGCAGGGTATATATACGACTGAAACAGTCAAAGGGTTAAGCACTGCAGTGAAGAGGCTGCTAGAGGCAATGGAGATGTCATACTTGAGGATGATGTGTGGAGTGATTATACAGAAAATTAAGAGCATGGAGAATTGAAGATTATGTGGGGTTACAAAGGAAATAATTCAGAAATGAGGGGTTGCTAAGGTGGTTTGAGCATTTCGAGAGGATGGAGCAGATTAGATGACTAAGAGGGTGGTGTGGAGGAAATAGAACAGGGTCATCCCAGGAAGGGTTGGAGGAAGATTCTGAATGTTAGGGGTCAGTATCTGATATATTTTTGATGAGATTCGAGAATTTTTCTACTCTGAAGCTCGGACTTGGGCCAGGCTCATCTGTTGCTTGCTTGGTCAACCAGACTGTTGCTGCTGGTGGCCTGCTGGCCCACATATCCATCACAGCCTGGTTGATTTGACACCTAAGATATTTGTTCAGTTTCCTCTTGAAGACTTCTACACTTGTCCCAACAGTGTTTTTTATATCTTCCGTTAAGATACTGAATAATCCGCAGCCACAGATGCTGATACAATGTTCTTATTGTGCCTATGATGCTCATGCTTTCAATGGGTTTATTTTGAACTTCTTCCCATCTCTCTCACTCCAGTACGTTGTATGGCACAAGGCGCTCAAGTACGTACTTTCCAGGTGTATATATTAGGCATCATTAACATAAGACATTCCCAGTAATTTTAATGTTTTGTTGGCTCTATAAAGGCTGTAAATGATTTCTGTATCTATTCCAGCTCTGACATATCTCCTGCCCTGAAGCCCCATCAACACTGAACAGTATTCCAAATGAGAGCACAAGCAATTTAAAGTGTTAACAATAACACTATTTCCCTTGTTTTGAAATTTATTATCCATCCTGTCATTTCCCAGGCCAATGTGACATTGCCTTATTGTGTTCCTTGAAAGAAAGAAGGGGGCAAAAGGAGCAGGAGGGGGAGAAAAGGGGGGGGGGAGAGGGGGAGGGGGGGGGAAAGGGGGGAGGAGGGGGGAGGGGAAAGAGGAGAGGGGAGAGAGGAGGGGGGAAGGGGAGAGGGGGAGGGGAGGGGAGAGGGGAGAGGAAGGGGGAGGAGAGGGGAGAGGAGGAGGGGGAGGGGAAAGAGGGGAGAGAGGGGAAGAGGGGAGGGAGAGGAGAGGAGAGGGGAGGAGAGGGGAGGAGAGGGGAGGGAGGGAGGGGGGGGGAGGGGGGGGGGAGAAAAAGGGGGGGGGAGAGGGGGGGGAAACAAGGGTAGGGGGGGGGGAGGGGAAAGGGGGGGGGAGAAGGGGGGGGAAAAGAGGAGGGGGAAGGGGAGGAGAGGGAGGGGGGGGAAAGAAAAGAGGGGGGGAGGGGAAAAGAGGGAGGGGAGAGAGGGGAGGGGGGGGAAAGGGAGGGGGGAGGAGAGGGGGGGGAGAGGAGGGAGGGGAGAGAGGGAGGGGAGAGGGGGAAAGGGGAGAGAGGGAGGGGTGAGAGGGGGGGAGGAGGGGGGGGGAGAGGGGGGGGGAGAGAGGGAGGGGGGGGAGGGGGGGGGGAGAGAGGGAGGGGGAGAGGGGGGGGAGGGGAGGGGGGGGAAAGAGAGGGAGGGGAGGGGAGGGAGGGGAGGAGAGGGGAAGGGAGGGGAGAGGGGGAAAGGGAAAAGTGGGGGGGAGGGGGGGAAAAAAGGGGGGGGGAGGGAGAAAAAGGGGGGGGGAGAGAGAGGGAAGAGGGGAGAGAGGGGGAGGGGGAGAGAGGGGGGGAGAGAGAGGGGGGGAGGGAGGGGGGGGTGGGGGGGGGGAGGGGGGAGAGAGGGGAGGGGAGGGGAGAGAGAGAAAGGGGGGGGGAGGGGGGAGAGAGAGAGAGAGAGAGAGGGAGGGGAGAGGGGAGAGAGAGAGGGGGGAGGGGGAGGGAGAAAAGAGGAGAGGGAGGGGGAGAGGGGGGAGAGAGGAGAGAGAGGGAGGGGGGGGAAGGGGGGGAGAGAGAGGGGAGGGGGGGAGGGGAGAGAGAGAGGGGGGGGAAGGGGGGAGGGGGAGGGGGAGGGGAGGGGGGGGGAGAAGAGGGGGAAAGGGGAGGGGGGAGAGAGAGAGAGAGAGGAGCGGAGAGAGAGAGGAAGAGAAGGAGAGGAGGATGAAAAGAGAGAGGGGGATGGGAGGGGAGAGGACAGAGGAGAGGGCAAAAGGGGCTAGAAACCCCCTTTAAACCAAACCCTTGTGAAACCCAAACAAAAAAAATATTATTTTTTTATTTATATATATATTTTTATTATATTTTTTTTATATATTTATTATTTTTATAAATTTTTAATATTTTTAATATATATAAATTTTTATATTTTTTAATTATTTTTTAAATTTTAATAATTTATATTTTTATATAATATTTATTATAATCTTTATTTTATATATAACATATATTTTATATTATATAAAATTATATTATTATATAATACTATAATTTTAATAAATATTATATTTTTCCCAATTTATATAAATAAAATACATATTATTATAATATTATTTATATACATATTATATATAACATTTTAATATTATAAAATTATACAAAAATTTTTTATATATTACTTTAATATTTTTAATATATATACATAAAATTATTATATATATACATAAAAAATTATATATATATAAAAACCATTAAAAAAAATTTTATTATATACATACATTTTATATATTTACATACATATTATATTAAAATTAACATATTATATTTATACATAATTTTAAATAAAATACATAATATTTTTTAAAATATACATCATTTTATTTTATCATACAAATTTTATTTAAAACATAATATTTTAAAAATATTAATAATATAAATTTATATTTTTTTTTTATTTTTTTATTATAAAACCCCGGCCCGTTTCCCACCAAGGGGGGGTGGCCGAAAAAAAAAAAAACTTTCACCATCATTACCCATCACTGTCTTCCCAAAAGGGGGTGCTTTACCACAGTTTTTAAACTGCAACATTAAAAACCCCCCCCTTTCGATTTGCAGGACTGTACTTCCCTCTCCGGACCCCAAGTCCGGCCTGCCGGTTTCCCTAAACCCCTTCAAAAAACGTTACTTTGCCCCAAAACTAAACAGCACGTCAAGTAAAAAACCCAAATTTTCTCCATTCCCTCCTTAAAACCCCCACGCTCACGCATGGCGGGAAGCCCAACCCCCTCGCAACAAAAACCCCTTTTTCCCCCTCCCCCCAAACCCCTTCCCTGGGCCCGACCCTACCCCCCCTTCCCTTTTCCACTAGGGGCGGATACACTCTTAAAGTCATTTATTTCGCCCCTTTTCCCCTTACTTGCCCGGGAACCCCCTCAAAAAACCCCTTCCCTTTCACCCCTTTGGACAACATTTTTGGGTTTAACCCCGCACCCCCTCAAATTTCCCAAAACTCGAATTTCTGCATTATTTTCCCAAAACCAACTTTTCCCTCAGTCTAAATTTCCCCAAATCCCTCCACCCTTTTCCTGTGAAACTTTTCATCCCCAAACCGCTTCACCCCCCATTTAAGGGGTTTGGGTTTTAAAAAATATACTTTTTTTTCATTCCCCTCTTTGCCTAAAGGGCAAATTTTTCCTTTTTTCCCCAAACGGGGAACCTTTTAAGTGCACCACTCACTTTTTTTCCCAATCACCCAATTCTATGATTCCCCTCATCTTTAAAGGCCCCACCCGCGGGACACGCCCAAATCCAAAAATCTAAATTTCTTTTACCCCCCATACTCTCCCCCTTCCAAAACCGGATATTAAATTTTTATCACCAAATCTTTTTTGTTATCCTCAAAAACCTT